CTCCTATTTTCATAATCATGGTACTTAACACTTTGAAAATAATTGAACTACATTAAATCACCACTTCATAGTGGGCTTTTCAAATGAAGCAAGCCATATTTGCATTTTAACCAAATTCACACAATTCAATTATCAAATATTATTCAACAAGTTAATTAACACACACAAAGTATAAGATAAAATTCTCCCGGTTATATCAAAATCTTTAAGAAGTCAAAGGTTTTACCCTTAAATACTCACTTCCAAAGCTTTCAAGAAACTAGAATGATACCAAAGATAGTCACTCTATAAACATTTACAATGTAAATCATCAATGTCCACATTTGAGCTAATTTTCACTAATAATTCAACTCTTTTTAATGCTCAAAATTTATCCTTGACTCATATAAAAGTATTCATAAGATTTCTTAGCTTCCTTTAACTCATTAATATCATTGAGCTCTTTAATGGTCATTATGAAAACATATTGTTCCAACTAACACATTAATGGAGAATTTTTGAATATTTAATACCCCTCAACCACCAATCATCATAACTCCATAAGTATCAAGTTTTATTAGTTCAATCTAGTCTCATTAACTCTCTATTAAGTCAATGGGTTTGGACCTATAAATCATATAGACCGAAAATCATCATTATCAACTAAACCTTAACTTCTACCATTAAGAAAATGAAAGGAGAGAAGAATTTAGGTATAAAAAGCTTATCTTTAATATTTATGAGCTCTAAAATACTCCCAATAGTTAATTTCTTCAAACCCTAACATAGCTCTTCAGACTCTTTCTCAAAATCTCTCTTGAATAATCTGCCGCTCAAAAATATAGTATATTGATAAATAAATTTTTTAAAGTAATGCTGTCAAATCTGCCGCTCAAGTTTATATGTCATTTTTTTATTTTATACTAGATATTAAGCTGAACTTTTTTCAATATAGAATTTTTTGTATAGTTTTTAATCCACTCACACTTGAATAATCTAACAATTATCAATACATTATTAATCATGATATGTACTCAAAGGTTGCAAGCAATTAGAAAGCGAGCAAAGAAGAAAATAAAAATCAAAACAAATTTTAGCTAAGCACTCCAAATTTCGTGTATCTGCTAAAAAGATAAAAATTATTATTTATATATACTGACATTAAGTGATTTTAATGTCACATGTTAATTCAAAACCTAGTAATAATGTTATAAGCATATTTTGTATAAGAATTTTTTATGGATTAAGGTTCAATTTTGTCTTTGTACTTATTTTTTAAAAGCGCTGGGTATCCTATACTCTTAAGTGTGGCAATTTTACTCCTAAACTATGTTTTTAGGAAGCAAAAAATCCTTTTGTTAAAAAACCGTTAACTTTGCCATTATATATTGATGTGACATGTGCGTGGGGTATTTGCACAATGACAGGTTAGATTTTGACCATGTCCTTTATTTAATTTGCCCTTGAACTTTTTCTTCAGTAACGTTGAGTATTCTAAAGCCTTTTTCTAAGAGCACTGGGTATCTTTAAGTCTTATTAAAATAAATTGTAATAAATATTATCAAATATTAAATATTTTCATATTTAATAATCTAAATATTAATATTTATAAATATTTATTTAAAATTTATAAATTACTTTTTAAACATTAATAACTCAAACTAACATTTTATAAATTTATAGATAACTTTTTATTTTTTATATATCAATATTTGATCTTCTCTTTGAAATAGTAACCCCAAATTATTATGCTTTTTGTGTATGTTAGAACTTACTTATATTTTTAATATTAGTTAAATTCCTTAATTTTTTTTGGTCAAATAACATTTTCTTCTAAAATATTGTGTTACCAAAATTTAATACTCTTTATGCGTTGTAATGTTAGATGTAAAATAAAAAATATGACAATCAAAGCTAATAAAATGACAATAAAAATGTTTATTTGAAAGATATCATTATTCCATTAATGTACTACAAAAAATTTAATTAACAAGAAAAAAATAGAGAGATAAGAAAAAAAAATTCTTTCGTTAATTTAGAAGTTCATTTGCTTTATTTTTAATATAAAATATTAAAATATTAAAATGGGTGGCGTAATATTTTAAATAATAATATTTAAATTATTAAATATTAAAATAATTAATATTTTTAATAATATATTATTAAATTTTATTTTAACAAGACTTCATGGTACTCAGTGCTCTTAAAAAGACTTTAGGATACTCAATGCTCCTGAAAAGAGAATTTATGGGCAAATTAGCACCAAAGGACATTATTAAAGTCTTATATATCACTATACATGACTCCATGTACATGTCATATCAGCATATAATGACAAAGTTAACTGTTTATTAATAGAGAGATTTTTTACTTTTTGAAAAAATAATTCAAGAGTAAAATTGTCCCACTTAAAAGTATAGGGTGCGCAGCGCTCTTAAAAAATAATACAAAGACAAAATTAAATTTTAACCCATTTTTCTTTAGTCTAACTTTATTTTTGATAAAAAAAAAATCTAACTTTGTTTAATACGTGACTTCTATTTATATTAAAAAACACTCGCAACAAAAATGGTTCTCCATAATTTTTGGCCTCTTGCCCTTGTTTTTAAGTAGCCAGTTTCTCAAAGAAGAAGTTCTGTTTTCACTCAACAACCCCAACTTAATGTTTTGATTTCTACTTCCTTCCAAAGCAAGTAAGTCGGACGCTATTCCTTTCTCACCGAAAAAGTCATCAAAACACTTTTATTGAGGACTTTAATTGAACACGTATCAAACATGCGCGCGCGCACTATAAGCCAAATATTTTATTTTTCTCAGTCTTCTCTCCAGATTTTCCCTTCTCAACTTACTCTTTTTTATCTTATTTATAAAATAAAAAAAATTATTTTATTTATAAATCACACCATTAAATTTTTATCACAAACTTTTTTTACCCTTAATTGAATGTTGAAGAGATAAAATATATTATTAAAATATATATATTTAACAGGAATAAAATTAAAAATTTATTAAATTTAAAATAGAATTAATGAATTTTAAAATTTTTTTTAATATTAATAAAATATATTAAAAATAATTTATAAATAAAATTAAAGGAGTGATTTCTTTTAAATTTTACTTCAAGGAACGCTTGGCTCTTGGTGGTCGGACGGCACCGATCCTTGGAAATTGGAATGACTTACTTCGATTGGTTTGTGTTTTTCCACAGGCTCGTCCGAAAGGTTTCAGGTCCATGGGCCGCCACTTGAAATCATCTGTATCTGGGGTTGCCACTTGCTTCTGGAAATCACACTCATAGCAATTTGGCGGGAGTCACATCAAGAGATCGATGAACCTTGGAAGCAATACCAAAAATGATCAACATAGTTGACGGTTTGGCATCATAACACTCGAAAAGCGTGTTTGCCTTGTTGCTTCCTCTGCTCGCTGCACTCTCCTTTGTTCATTCTTCTCTGATTTTATGCATCCACGTCCGTGGAAATAAAAGTGCATCAAAATCAATCGTTTTTTGCCGACAGAAATTAGAAACACTAGCACATGACTACAGAATATAAAATGCGAGCCGCATACTTTATCAAATTCCAGAATATTAATAAGATTCCATAACAGTCAATGCTTGTTTGATATTTTGTAGGCAAATCAATTACTGGCAATGGATTTAGTTAAAAAAAAAAATGTTTGCATATAATTTTTTTTCGGCGTATAGGAGTTGGTTAAAGATTCAATTCGTAAAGTTTGAGCTCTAAGTGCCCCCATTTGATTTAGGATATGATTATCTTTTGACCGCAAGACTTTGCTTATCTATTTTATTTAACTGCATCATCATTATCATTTATTTAACTGCATCATCATTTCATTTATCGATAAATTTAATGTTGCAATCAGTCGTTTTGTAAATTCACCGTTAAAAAAGAACTTCTTCTGTTGAAAAAGGAACAATAACTTGCTTAGCTGCTGCTGCTTCTTCTTTTATTGTTCTTATGCATTATTCTATTAAAAATAATTTTATTTAAAGCACAATTAAATATTAAATGTAAATACTTTTCGTAATAGAAATTTAAACTTTAATTCATCACATTACAAGTAACTAATATTTTTTACTAGACTCCACTCCTGTTAATTACTTATCAAATATTTAACCACTTGTCTCTTAACCCAATCATTGCTATCTTATTTCATTGGGTACACCAAACATGCTCCGATCTTTATTACGACAATCTCCGGCATATATTGTAATATAATATACTTTGTCCAAAGTATTAATTTTTTTTTTCACCCATCATACTGATTAATTATAGAACTCTTTAACTACTAGGACTATTTTATTTAGCTATAAAGTATTTTTTATAAATAAGTTCAGAGGTAGTAATTAAAAAAACTCCTCTGATTATTGATTAATGATTTTATTGATTATAATTTTAAAATTTTACAAGAAATAACTAACTTTAACAAACTTCACTAATTTACGTAAAGTCAATATTAGTTGTTTAAAATAAAGGAGATGAGGAGTATTTGTCAGAATTTTTTTTTTTTATAAAAGAAAAGTTTAGGTAAGGTGGGTTACAGGAGTCATAAAAGTCACTGCACGTCTCCAAATTCAAAAAAAGCTTACAAAGATACTTACAAACCTCTTGCCAACAAATACATATAGATTTGTTTCTATAACCTTTTCAATATGGATCAAATTCATATTAAGTAAATTAACTTTTGTTGGTAGTATATCTTAGAATTGACTGTGTACAACCGGCCCAACCCATCATCACAAAGTGCAAAAGTCCACCATTACAGCCCAAGCTGAGGTTTTTTTTTTTTGAGTCGGTGATGCTTTATTTTCTCGTTTAACTTGTTTATTTTCTGGCCATGATTTTCGCGTGTTCTTCTTTACTTTACTGTAGAGAGGAGGGTTAAAAAAAAAAAAAAACTCTAAGGTGGTTGGTGACATTACGATCACGTGGAGGCAAAGCTCTAAAGCGACGTTAATCGGTACTTTCAGTGGGCTCCAAAATAGATATTTTAATTTAGTGAACATGAATCTGGCAACTTGAAGCTCCGGCCAGAGTCTTGTACCTTACCAATCACAGTCTCACTGCGAACTGAAAAAGCACACTTTGCCATTGGTATACAGCGCCATCACTCCAATCTGATAGCAGATACCCTTGGCCTCCCGGAGCCATGGCCGGAGCTCTAAGTCTCCCACAATTCTCAGTTTTTGGGTCTGTTCCATTGCCTAAAAGAGTAACCCGAAGCACGGTGTCCATTAGAGCGACTTCGGAAACCTCTCCGTCCTCTTCCGCTTCTGTGAGCATCACAGAAGACCCAAAACCGGATTCTCCGCCCTCATCGTCCACGTTTGCTCCTCCACTCAATTTCAAGCCTCCTGAGCCCAAGCGCTTTCAAGTGAGGCCTGACCAGTCTAATGACGTGTTTGGAGCGGCAATTCCCTTGTTCTTGCGCTTTGGTACTGGAGTTTTCGCTTCTGGGTAAGCAAATGTATTCTGCCGTGTGTTTTGTTCCCAATTTCTTCCCCACATAACCTTCAATTATCGCTTATGGCACTGGAAATTCGAGGTCAATTTCAAATATTAATGAACCCAAGGATGACAAGCTTCAAATGCTAGCCATAGCGGGCATAATGATAGGTTTTCTGACCTTTTTCTGCTGTGGCTTAATGACTATCTAAAACTCTTTAAGGTCTACTAAGAAACATTGGTCTTTATTCCTTACCGTTACTGCTGCACCTTAAACAATGATTTTAGATGGAATCTGATAAGATCACATATAATATTCCCTTAAAAACTTATTCGTGAATGAGACGTCAAAAAATAAATTAAGTTTGATTTTATTTGATTTAGGAATATTTTAGGGTAGATTTCTGGAAATTATATTTGGATATTTAGTTTTTATATTTTATTTAGATTTTATTCAGTATTTTATTCAGATATAGATTTTAGAATGTTTTATTCCTTTATCTAGTTATCTAAATTTCATTTAATATTTTGAATTGTATTTGACTTTATAAATATAACTAACAACTTAAAAACTAGCATATCATCAATAAAATATTCTTTAAATCCTTTTGAGATCCTCTTGAACGTGACTATTGAGAGAAATATAGAATGATTTGTTAATATATTTATTTCTCTTATTTTCTTCCACACATACTAGTCAGGAAACCAACCCTTTGAAAACTTATTCAGCAACTCATCAAAAAATCAAAACTCAAGCGAATTAGATCATCTAGCCACTATTACCTTCAGACTCGAAGCTCTTGATTTGTTAAAAGAAAAGGTAGAGGCATTTGAAATCTCCACATTCAATAAAGGCAATAAGTCGAAGGAGACCCATCACAGACGCTACTATGAAGATGAAAGTGAAGACGAACAAGACAATTGTAGACACAACAGATATCACCACACCAACATTGAGTAGAGGTGGGAACATGCGCCAACCTGGCCCATATAGTTTGAGAGAAATGTAGGTCGGGTTGGGTTCAACCCGTTTTTATTTTTCCAATCCAACCAAACCCTTAAGTGTTAGGGGGTTAAATGGGCTAACCCATTAGCCTATTTATTTATTTTTTATGATTTTTTTTTAAAATACATCTAAATAATAAGTTTTAATTTGATTTTCCTTCATGATTCATTCTAAATATACCAAAATGTTAATTTATAATGTTTGTACAAAATATATAAATTGATCCAGCTGAATGAGTTATGCTAATATGGTTTTCATCCACAAAATTTTTCCCTTTTTTCTTTTTTTAATTTTTTGTGAAAAATAATATGGGTTAAATGAGCCAATCCTAACCCATATAGTTCACGGGCTATATAGTTTAGGCTAGAAAAAATTGTTTTTATTTCGGCCATTTTTTTCCTTGACCCGACCCTTATAACCAATTATTCAGGCCAACCCATATAACCCAACCTTTGTTTCCGACTCTATCCATGAGGACAGTTTTTAAAGGCAGAAAAATACTTTAAATATTATGACACACTTGAAGAAGAGAAGGTGGATGTGGTGTTGATGGCTCTAGAAGGAGATGCCCTTGATCTATTCACTTGGATCAACCATGAGAGAACGCTGCACTATTGGGACGAACTTGTTACATCTTTTAAGAAAATTTTGGACGCCCAAAATACTTGAATCTTGATGAATACTTGTATAGCATCAAACAAGAGGGCTCGGTACATGAGTATTGCCAGGAGTTCTCCAAACGGTCTGCCCGAGTTAAACATTGGCCTGCACACTGCTTGCTTAGAGTATTTCTAAATGGATTGTGCAAAGAGCTATGAGCAAACATGTGTATCCACAAACCAAAGTAAGTCTATTGGGCAATAAGTCTTGCCCTAGAGTTTGAAGGCAAGTTGCATCCATGAGGGCTCAAGCCCAATTTTTTCTAGATCTAACATAGGTCCAGTGTTGCGTCTACACCTCTTGCACGTCATTAGAAGAATTTTGCAACAGCATCTTCAACGAGTACGCACAAAAATTCCTCCATAGACACCAAACAACAAAGGAGGAGAGAGAAAGCTTGTGTTTTTGCTATGGGGACACGATCAAGCTTAGGCATCACTGCAAAAGCTCCATCTCGCTTGTGGAAATTTTAGAAGAAGTGATACCCCCTCTTGAAGATATTGGAGTCGAAGAAAATGATGATGGAGTTGAAATCTCTTTAAATGCAATCATGGGAAGTAATATGGGTTCTGCTATGAAGTTCAAAGGCATGTCAGGCAATCACGAAGTATTATTAATTGTGGATGGTGAGTCCACTCATAATTTTATTTTAAATTCTCTGGTACTAGATCTTCTCCTGCCTACCAATTTTATTTCTACCTTTAGAGTTCAAATTGATGATAGTAGTATTATTCATTGCTACTGAATATGTAAAGATATAAAAGTTCAACTAACTGGGCTAACCATTAAGGAAGGCTTCTACCCCTTTACTCTTAGAGGGGTTGATCTAGTCCTTGATATTAGGTCACTAGCATCTCTCAATATGGTGCAAGGTATAAGGCCCAATGAGTCCCTAATAACAGTAGAGGTGCTCAGTTTAATTCACTATAACAAATAGAAGCTTCCGCTGCCTTTGATTAATTCCAACCTGAAACCACTATTTGAAGAATTGCCATTAGTTTTTGAAGAACCTATTAGTTTACCTCCACTTAAAAACCACTCACATGCCATTCCTTGGCTACTAGGGGCCAATCCACCTAATTTGTGACCATATAGGTAACCACATTACTAAAAGGTAGAAATTGAGAAACAAGTTAAAGAATTGCTAAAAAAGAGGTTCATCCAACCTAATTCTAATCCATTTGCCAGCCTCATTGTATTGGTCACAAAGAAACTTGGTTCGTGGCGTTTTTGCGTGAATTATTGAAAATTAAATAGCATTATGGTTCCAAATAATTATCCAATTCCCAACATTGATGAGTTACCCGAGGCAGTTCATTTTTTCAACTTGATCTCCATTTTGGATATCACCAAATTTGGATGTCACCTAAGGATATTCACAAAACAACATTTCGTACTCATTCTGGGCACTATGAATTCATAGTTATGCCATTTGGCTTAACTAATGCCCTAACCAATTTTCAAGTGGCTATGAACAATTTATTTCAGCCTTACTTGCAAAAATTTGTATTAGTATGTTTTGATGACATCTTAGTGTGCAGTTCCTCTTTCCAACAACACTAAAGATCACTTGTGCACAGTTTTATGAGCCTTACAGGAAAATTTGTTCTTTGTCAACTTAAAAAAAAATGCTTTATTGGGAGGCCACAAGTACCTTTCTTAGGACACAAAATTTCTGCCCAAGGGATTGAAGTTGAGGCTGAAAAGGTGGAGACAATATGGGAATGGCCTACTCCTAAAAATGTAAAGGAATTGCTTGGTTTCTTGGGCCTTGTAGGTTATCACTGAAGTTTTGTGAAGAATTTCAAGATCATCGCACCCCCCCTACTGAGTTGACTAAGAAGGATGCCTTCTTGTGATCTCAACGAGCTCATAAGGCCTTTAATCACCTTAAGCTTGCATTAATGATGTCACCTGTTTTATAGCTGCTTAATTGTAAGGAAGAGTTTACAATTGAATGCGATACATCTACTGAAGGGATTAGAGCTCTTCTTAAGCAAAATAATCATCCCATTACTTATTTTAGTAAAGGGTTTTCTGTCTCCAACCGCGACAAGTCTGCCTTTGATCAAGAGAACTCTTAGCATTAGTTCTAGCAATATAAAAATAGTGCCATTATCTCCTTGGAAGGCATTTCTTCATGAAGACAGATCATGCTAGTCTTCAATATCTACTACAACAACGCATTACAACTAATACTCAACAACGGTTGATCCTTAAGCTCTTGCCATTTAATTTCACTATCATCCACAAGGCAGGTGGGCAGGTGTGGATGATAAAAGGGTAGATGCCTTGTTAAAACGACACCAGCATGCAGATTTTTTCCAAATGACAGTGCCTTTTGCCTTGAATTACATGATCTCTCCTCTGAGTTGGCTTTAAATCCACTCACTAATGAGGTAATATTGGATTTGTAAAGGGATCCATCATCTCAACCAAGATTCCATTTAGTTGACCAAAAGCTCTTCTATGATAATCGAGTAGTCATACTTTACACATCTTAGTTGAGACCAAAGCTACTAGTAAAGGCTCACTCTTCCGCTATTGGAGGGCATGGCAGTTTTCTCAAAACATTTCAATAGCTCTTGGAGAATTTGTATTGGCCTACGACGAAAGTAGATGTGAAAGCTTATGTGCGACATTGTATCACTTGTTAGCAGAACAAGTATCAAACTTTAGCCCTTGTTGGACTTCTTCAACCCTTATCTATACCTCTTTAGATTTGAGAGGACATCTCACTTGATTTCATTACTGGCCTATTAAAGTCAGGTGGTTTTGAGGTCACATTAGTAGTAGTGGATCGTTTAAGTATGCCCACTTTATTGTTCTTGTGCACCCGTACACTGCAAAGAAAGTCGCAGTTGTTTTTCGTGAAGAAATTATCCAATTACATAGGGTATCTCACTTAATTGTCTCTAATAAGGACCCTATTTTCATGAGCTCTTTTTGGCAAGAATTATTCTGACTGAGCCAAACCAAGTTAAAAATGAGTACTGCTTACCATTCCCAAGCGAATGGTCAAATGAAGGTGGTCAATTGAGGCCTTAAAGCATTTTTTCACTCTTTTGCATATGAACAACCTCAGTTATGGCTTAAGTTTCTTTGCTAGGCTGAATCCTCCTACAATATAGGACATCATACATCCACCAACTCTTCTCCATTCAAGTAGGTGTATGGTAGGGATCCCCCTCATCTACTTCTTTATATGAAAGGAGAAACTTCTATAGCTGACTTAAAGGACCAATTGGAAACCAGAGATGCAATGCTCAAGCTATTGAAAGATGATTTGTGCAAGGCTCAAGACCGGATGAAGACTCATACTAACAAACATAAGAGAGAAGTTCAATATGTTGAGGGCAATGTTGTTTGATTGCAAGCAATGTTTTTAGAACCGGACCGAATATTGAACTAAGAAGGTCAGTGGTTCACAGTTCGCATGGTTCAATCGAGTTGGGCTAGTGGTCAAACCGGTGACATAATAATTAAATTAAAAAAATTATATATAATAATCTAAATAAATATGAAATTGCTACTTAACTTAAAAATAAAACCAAATCTTTTAAGTTTATCATGACTTGACAAGCCACATGACACAATATCACATCAAATGATTTAAAAATTGATCATTTTCTTAAAAAAATTGATAAAAAAATAAAAAAAATGTTTTTAACAATCCTGTTTTTGAAAATTGGGTTCGGCTCTCGGCTTGATCCCAATTCTCGGTCTTACCACTGGTCCAAAACGGCCCAGCTCAGCTCAACTCCTAAAATGGTTTTACATGCTAACCAAGTCGAAATCAGGATCAGTCTGACCATACGGTCTGGTCCGGTCTTTTAATCACTAGTTGCGAGTATAGCCCTTTCGCCAATGATCACTCACTAAGTGGAAATTTGAAATCGCCTCACTTCTTTGGTCCTCACAAGATCCCGTGGAAGATTGGGAAGGTAGCCTATGAATTAGAACTTCATTTAGATGCTTGAATTCACCCTATTTTTCATGTCTCTCTATTACGACGTGCTTATGGGATGGATCCACCCATTATCCCAGCTTCTTTACCACTATTTGCTGATTTTGAGCTACATATATTGCCTGATCAAGTCTTGGATCATCGCTGGATTCGCCGTCACTCGCTTGACCTATTGGTGCAATGGCAAGGGTGACCTGTGGAAGAGTCAAGTTGGGAGGATTACGACCTCTTGCGAGCTCAGTTTCCCTCTTTTCAACTTGAGGACAAGTTAAGTTTTCAAAAGGAGGGCAATGAGAAGATCCTAAATAATATTCTTTTAAAAACTTGTTCAAGAAGGAAGTGTTAGAAGATAAATTAAATTTGATTTTATTTGATTTAGGAATATTTTAGGATAGATTTCTAGAGATTATATTTAGATATTTAGTTTTTAGATTTTATTCAGATATAGATTTTAGGATGTTTTATTCCATGATCTAGTTATTTAGATTTCATTTAATATTTTGGATTGCATTTGGCTTTATAAATATGACTAACAACTTAAAAGTCAACATATCATTAATAAAATAGTCTTTAAACCCTTTGGAGATCCTCCTGAATGTGGCTATAAAGAGAAATACAGGAGATTCTTATTTTATATCATCTTAATAGATTTACTTCTATTATTTCCTTTTATTATTTTGAGCACTTAACAGTATCTTCAAATCACTTTTTCCCCAAGTTGAAGTCAACACATAAAATATATGATAAAAGACAAAAATCTTGAAAAAGTACTGCATCTTAGACAATGTGTCTCGCTGTAAATTTAGACAGCAACTGAATTCTGAATTTCTTGAGCTTGTGCTGTCTTATGGCAGGTATTCTTTTTCCTTCGTTCCTAAGGATGAATTTCCACCTGATCAGTATGCTTTGGAAGTTTCTGGTACACACCTGCCTTCTTTTAAGTTTAATACTTTGTTCTGGTTAATTATAGCATATTGTCGTTTAATATATTGCTGGCTTGCTGATGTGAATTAGAAAGCTGAGGAAAATCTAATAAGCTTGCATGTCAACCTGACGATTTTTAAAAATTAGAAATGAGTTTCTAAGTTTTCAAGTTTATGTCTTGACTTAAATAATCACTCATATATTTTGGAATAATTTCTGAAAATACAAATTTTATGGGGAAATCCATTTAAACGTGATAGTTCAAAGTCTTTTCATCACTGTATTTTGATTTTGTTTGCGGATTGAATGTTAACCCGAGTGGTATGATTCCAGGGTACAAGGTAAAAGAAACAGCAAAGTTAGGCCATCGCCCAGAGAAACCTATTGAGATATATGAATTTGAGAGGTATCTTGTTTTTCCCTGTCGAATATTCTAAAACACAGGCTTATGTCAGAATGCATTCGAAAATATTAGTTTCTTCCTTTCCCTTTGGCCTATGTTTATCGTCACATACCTCTTGAAGGAATGCACTAACTATCTATATATTGTTTTTCCTTCCAATTTATGGGCTATCATGGATTATGTGCAGCTGTCCATTTTGTCGAAAGGTATGAGTTTCTGTCTTGGAGGATTTGTGCTAGGTCTTTTCCTTCGTTACTTTTTTTTGGGGTGGTGGAAGTGGGAATCATTAGGATCTATGCAAAAATTGAACCTTCAGATTCTGGTATCATATGCAAGACCTAATTTTTCGGTGTGGACTGGACTAATATTTTGATCACGCACAGGTCAGAGAAATTGTTGCTGTTTTGGACATCGATGTTCTTTTTTATCCATGCCCTAGAAATGGACCGAATTTCCGTCCCAAGGTTGCTCAGATGGGTGGAAAACAGCAATTCCCCTACATGGTCAGCTTGATTCCTTTAAACCAAAAGCAAACCAGAAAAGAAACTCTGATGCTTCTTTCTATATTTTTTGAGAAAAAATTTTAATTACAGGAAAATAACTGATGAACCTACTCCACATTACTGAAGTGTATCTAAAAACTTGGTTGCTGTTTTTCATATACCATTCTAGCATCTTACATTTCCTATTTGCTTGCAAATAGGCTCAAAATGCTAGCATTTGAAATTATAAAGATAGCTTTATAATAGAATGAGGTTCTATATCACACGTTACTTGAAAGTTGAAATGAAGTAAGCTGAAGCCAATTGGTTTGATCTGATAGATCTTTAAAGGTGCAACTGCTACTTGGGGAAAATTTCTTTATGTATTAGTTACCATTTGTATTCTGCTCACATACACCTGGTTATGATATTATACTCTTATTTTTAAGGGTAAAGGTGTATTTTTGTCCCTGAAGTATTCTTCGAAGAGCACTTAACATTCTAAACTATTGATCAGAACAATTTTGCCCATAATGTAATTAAAACAGAGCATTTTTAACCTTGCCGTCAAATTCCAAACGCTGACCGCTAGAAAATGCTAACTAGGACTGCAACGTTGACGGTTAGGGAATTTAACGGCAAGGGCAAAAATGATCTGTTTTAATTACTTTAAAAGTATAATTGCTCTGACCAATAGTTTGAGGTGCTGGGTGTCTCTTGGAGAATACTTTAGAGGCAAAAATGCATATTTACCCTACTTTTAAATAAAATGGTACTAAACCATCTAATGCTTCGGTAATGATTTTGTTGTTTTCAAAAAACAAAAAGCTTTCTTCTTTTTAAAGTTTTGCAGTAGCTTTTTTTGTAGTAATTTTAGTAGTTATGCATGCACTTGACATATCAAGACCTGTGATGATTCTGTGCGTGTCTTTGAAAGACGATTCTGTTTTTGTGTATCTTTGTTTTCAGGTGGATCCAAACACAGGCGTTTCCATGTATGAATCGGATGACATAATCAAGTACTTGGCTGAGAAATATGGTGTGTGCCATCATATCTACCCTTGTCTCTATCATATGCCTATGTAGTTTTTCCCCAATCAATCATAATAAAAAGATATTGCTGCTGTTGGTTTCATGTAAAAGATAATTCAAAACTGTGAATTTTATCACTTAAGCATCAATATTGGCAAATCTGGATATTTTCTCTTTTTCTTATCTCAGAATCACCTTGCTATATTGCAGCCTGTTTACCCATAAGAAGGACTAAAACGTTGTGATACTGCTTTCACTTCATTTCTGAGCACATTATATTTTATGAGTGCATTTTTCACCAAGTTTACATGGTGGAAGCCTGCAAATTTTCTATTAAATATTCCTTTTCTGTTCTGCAGGAGATGGAAGTGTTCCAATCACTTTATCTCTTGGATTATTTACGGTTAGAATCTGGTTCTATTATCACTCACAGGTTAAATCATATGGGTTATGTTACTAATAAACACTATCTGCTTGCTGCAGACGCTGAGTGCTGGCTTAGGTATGCTTGGTCGAAGGGGAAAGGTAGTATGGTTTTCTACTCCTTTTTTTTAGTGCGAAATTAACTCAGTTTCTTTTCTTTCCTTTCCTTTTTTTTTTTTAAAAAAAAAGCAGCTCCTTTCTGAATTACTTGGGGAACTATTGCATATGTGAATTGGCTAGCAGGCAGACTGTTATATGTTTTTTAGAGATTTTAGTACTTTCGTGAATTCTGTTTTTAAAACTTATTGTTGATATTTCAATTTCATCAGTAAAAAAATGACTAATAACTACTTAATTTCTATTTTCAGGGTAGCACTTATACTCCAGCAAAATTACCTCCAGAGCCACTAAAAATATGGGCATATGAGGTTGGTAGACCATGAAACTAAATTCACACGAATCTATGCATTGTATTGCTCAACTCAGTATAAATTTCTGTATGAGAAAATCTTTGATTTGACCTCTCTGGTTTGAGATCATAGGACCAATATTTGATATTTTTCTTTCAGGGTTCACCTTTCTGCAAACTTGTACGTGAAGTACTCGTAGAGTTGGAGCTGCCACATTTGCAAATCACGTAATCTCCTTATTTCCAAACTAGCTGACTGTTAGATCTGATGTCAAAGAAAAAAATTTATTATGGTTGTCTTGAGATATTATCTAAATTCACTTCATATTTTATACGACTAACATCTTACGTATGAACCCTTTTGTTAATAATCGTTACTAGTTGAGTTTTGACCACTATATTGCTCATGCATCTTATGTTGATTTCATTGGTTAAAACCATGCATGGTTGTGGCCATATCATACATACGCTTCCTCTCCAATTAGATAGAGAAGATGCAAATCTTCATTAGTGATTGGGAATTCCATAAAAAATTAGTAATGGAGTCTTTCGTGTAGTGTAGGTAAGGTCTATATGCAATCTTGCTTTTCTGTGTAATCAATTTCCTTTTCATTTCATTTCAGCTGTTCTCGAGGTAGCCCGAAACGACAGATGCTATTAGAAAAAACTGGGCATTTCCAGGTACTTGATCTATTCTGGTAATCTGGTCAAAAAAAAAAAAAAAAAAGATCTATTCTGGTAATAAGTTTGTCATGTTCACGAGCACGCTCACAATGTAGGTTTGCTAACCTGGAGACATGATCTCATTTTGGTTAGGGGATAATATGAATTTGGATGCTTATGGTTGACTGCAGGTACCCTATTTGGATGATCCGAACACTGGGATTGGAATGTATGAGAGTGCAGAGATTATAGAATATCTAAGAGCAACTTATGCTCTTCAATAAATCACGTTTCCAGAGGCTCGTGAATGTGAATTTTTAACTCACTCCCATTATGTCACTCTACCAGTCTGTCTTTGCTTCCTCTTGGGAGGTGTGATTGCTAGTTGTTCAAATTCTTGGATAAGTTAACTTGCATGCAAATATCTAGTCAAGTAGCTAGATCAAGACAAATTGCCAAAATTGAAAGTCTTCATTTTGTTGGCTGACAGTGAGATTACTTAGAGCATGTTTGGCTTGTTGAAGGAAAGGGAAAAGCGGAAGCAAAAAAAATTAATACATCATTTTAATAGCTTTTATCTCTTTTTAATACCTCGAAAATAACAACACGAACTAACGCCGTTTAGTTTAAGTAGTTCAACACTCTTTCTAAAAGAGGTTTTGGGTTGAAATTTAACGTATGGAAAAAGGAGGGGAATAAGGAGCGTCTTACATCAATGCGATTCTGTTTGACTCGATTGAAAAAACAATAACAACATGATTATCATTTTTCGTATCTGAATTATTTTTTAATTATTTGCTTTATTCCATCTTATTTTATGTGTGCTTAAACTCCTGAAAGGAAAGGGGAAATTATTTGCAAGGAATAACAACGGGTTAACAATTAAATGCCCGTCAGCATGTTCACGTGGTCAAGAAACAAACTGGGTATTTGATATAAATAATTTGATTCATTTTCATTTTTCAGTAAAATTATTTTTTAACTTTATAATTTAAAAATTCATTGTATACTTTTTACAAAATTAAAAATGTTGATAAAGCTATATAAAATTTTAATTATGTAAATTTAATAGAAATAACTAAATAAGTCAAGCCTCGTAATAAACTGGCTGACCCGAAGATTCCATTAACAAACCTACAGGGGCGGTGTGCCAATGATGTGGACGTTTTTGGGCATCAAAACAGTTTTAAGCATTTTCTAAGGCCGAAGTAGGGTGACCTTACTTTTTTTAGTTTTTAAGGCTCAAACACAAACACAAACACATTTTAATTATTTTCCTTCCTTCTCTCTCTCTCTCTCTCTGTGCGTTTCTATTTCCATGCCCGCTTCACAAATCTTCCCCCTTCTTCATGTGGAATAAAAAAAAAAAAAAAACCCCAAATTATTCTGCTTTGTGATCCTTACAATGTGGGAAGTGGGGACTGAAGAATATTATCTCTGGGGCTTCAATGGCGAAGATGAAGTTGACTTCCATTTAATCACATTGTCTCTGAAATTCCGTGGACGTCTTAGATTGCAGAGAAAAAATATGCATCATGAACTCTTCTCAGCTGAATTATCTATATGAGATTTTCATGGTTCAGTTTTTTTCTATTTTTAATTAGATTTTAGAAATTTTTTTTATCTTACATGAAACAGTATATAAAATAATACTGCTATTTATCTTATAATTATTAATTTCTAAAGAAATATTTTAACTTTAAAACATAACCTAAAAAAAAAAAATACCCTTCCTGGTTTTGCTTTTTCTGAGTCAGTGAGTTCTGTATTTAGTGTTATGCTTATACAATGTATTGGTACTATTTGGGAGTCTCAAAGTTTAGTATCTCTTCCCCGACATGTGTCTCCCACGCGACCTCCATCTACTCATTTAGCAGATTGCGCAATGTGACATGCGTGCTTTGTTGCTTTATACCGACCAGTTCCGTTCCGTTAATGGCAACAATTTGATAGGAGATTATATTGTTTGATGACTTGTAATAATGTCTTGATTGTTAACCTCCACGGTCTTTAACAAGTCAGTTACAAATACTCCAACTCCCCAAGCCAGTCATTAAAAAAAAAGAAAAGAAAAGAACTTGAGCGTGAGGAAGCCATTTCAAAACCCAAATATAGATGACATCCACCTATGTTATCAATACTATAAACGACAACAACAACACAGCTTGTTGGTAAAAAAAAAAAAAAAACAACAACAACAACAGCAACACAGCTTCGATATGTTAGATTTGAGCTTTGTTTAGCTTAGTTAACCCCCCGTTTCTCTCTCACGCTAATACAATGGGTCAAACTCTCTCGCTCTCCATTTGCATTTATGCATGTCTTAAATGTAGAAATTCGTTGAAGGGTTTATTTTAATTTTAGATGTAACATTTCAATCTACTCTGTCTTTAATATTTATATTTTTTAAACCATACATATTGAATTGCATACATTCATCAATGAGACTCGTTTTCAATGCAAATGAATAGGTAATAATAATACATATCTTTTTGCAAATAACTAGTTTACCTAATTTTATTAATATATGTAATTTAATAATAATAAAAATTTATAAAGAATTTATCATTTATATGCAACAGTAAATTATTGAAAAATATAATAAACAAATCATAATCTAAAATATAATAAATGTTAGGATGTTTGCTTGATTTTATCTTATAACATGGATAATATCTATACAAACCCTAGAGTTTTATTGTTATTTAGATAATTAATTTTTAAGAAAATATGATTTTTTTACCACAAAAAACAACGAATATAGATGAATTTATAATTCTCAAAATTAAAAAAAAATTTACTAGTGAGTTAGCCTGCTAACCCACAAAAGATGCGAGTTATGCCAGCCAGTGACCTGCTGCAGGTCAGCTTTCAACCTGCAAATTAGCTTATATTACCAACTCTATTTACTTTCTCCAATTTAAAATACAAGATACTTTTAACTACATTTATAAGAATTAAAAAAATTAATTTATATTATTAAACGGGTAAAAAAATAATAAGTAGGCTAACCTTTGCACTGCATAACTTGGATTAGCAAATGAAATGTACTATATATATTTTATAGATTTAAAAAATACAGATCGAGAAGCTTCTGTATATGGTATGCGCGCGGTACAGTGGCAGTGCGTGGGGCTCTTTGGATAAGCAGTCGCCTCTATTATTGAGCCTCAATGGTGAGTATTGCTCACCTTTTCAATTCCTTTGGTGGTTTGGTTTCTTTTTAAAGTTTTTTGCCCTTTTTCTAACACTGACTAATTTTATTTGAGTGTGATATTAGATTTTGTATTTGATTAATTTTACGGTTGTGGATAATTAATTTTCTTAGGGCCTTTTATGTAAGTTCAAGTCCGAATAAGTACTACCCAAATAAATTCAGCTCACCTAAATTACTAATTGTAGTGTTAAACTTAATTAGTTCATACTTCAAAAAAAAAACAAATTCCTATTAACCATATAAAATGGCCATTTTATTCCTGTGGGCTTCTAATGCCCCTGGGCAACCAAAACCAACACAAATTTTACTATTCTGATTATATTTATAAGGCATTTTTATAAATAAATAAAAGTGATCTTAATTATAATTTGTCGAAAATTTTTTTTTTTTCATTTTCAACAGTTTAACTTGAAAAAAATATTTGTTCAAATAACAAAATACCTTATTGTCTTTCTTTAATTAAAAAAGTTGAAATATTTTTAACAAATAAATTAATATGATAATTTTTCGATGGAGCATGAAGTTTAAAACTTTGATTGCTTGTGGCTTTGAAGGTGCTATTTTTTACAAATCATTAATATTTTTTATTTGAAAGAATATTAACCAACCTTCCGACACAAACTTTCAAGTGCTGTTTGGTCAATCTCAATCCCTCGTAGCCTCTTAAAGTGACATCTGAGCATGCGCACTATGCCAATCCCTCTCACCCGAAGTGGCCTACTTTTAACATCCATCCCAATTTTATTTTTTCAGACGCACAAAGGAATGTGAATCACGGAACATGGATCGTGTGGGAAGCTCCAATAAAATGAAAATTACTATATTAGTTTTGTTTCGACGTGCAATGTTTTCTGCTTTTTAAGATTGATTTTTTTTTTTCAAGACATACACATGATTTACTTTACACACACGCACGCACACACGAAGATGAGTTTGCTGGATTATATTTATGCTTATAATTGAGATGGAACCAAAATTGATTATGAGTCATGATCACTCACCAGTGCGTTTTCATATGAAAGCAATAGATCTTTGATCTTTCGCGCACAAATTAAATGGAGCCTATAAAACTATTACGCGCCGGAAGCAGCAATGAACAAGAGAAAAATTAAAATCAAGAACTCCAATTTCAATAAAATTTTTGGCGAAAATATTTTCAAGATCATGAATACGACTTTCCATGAGCACAGCCTCTTTTAAAAAAAAAAATATTTGCGAAAATGTAATTCTATAAATAAATCCTGTAAAGCTGCTCCTATCGCACCATCGAATCGTTGCAACAAGCAGCGCTCAAATCAGCAGTGTCTAACAAATTTACTGTTGCAACAGAAATACTGGAGAAAACAAGAGCATCTTCGTCCATAAAAGCTAATCAAAAGCACAAACACGACATAGCCATCCACTCCAACCCATCCAAAATGTCCATGACAATTTTCTTCCTAATCCTTTCCTGTGCATTGCTCGCACTTTGTACTTCCGCAGGTAAAAATCCAAATATTTCTTCCCATCGAATTTCACTTATATTGTTTCTTTCCAATGGCTGGCCTCTTTTTCCAGCAGAGACAAGTTTTCTTCGCTCATATCAAGAGTTGTTTTAGTGACTTATCTTCAACAGTTTCCGCTAGGAATTTATAATTGTTCTCAATTATCAGTCTATACAAATGATTTGGATGCATTAGTTTGCCACCAGCATAGCATTCTTAACATTTTACAAGTTGAAACAGAGTTCCCCGCCCCCTCTGAAGAGCCGTGAGTTTGGTGTTCTGTTTAGAGGTCTGGTTTTTGTTATGGTTTAAATTCAAATGATGCAGAGTATATCAAATTCTTTGTGTTGGCATGTGTTCATTTTTTGTTTCATAATCGGAAATTTTTATGGTGCACCAGATCCGGTTAATTTTGGCTATTATGGTGCAAATGGTCCTAATAAATGGGGCAGCTTAAGTCCAAGTTTCTCAGCCTGCTCCAAAGGAAAAGCTCAGTCCCCTGTGGACCTTAGGAATGAGAATATTGTGTACAACAAGCAATTGAAGCCCTTAGAACGACACTACCATTCTGCTAACGCCTCACTTGTTAACAACGGCTTCAACATTGGGGTCTGCTCCTGAACTAATACTTTATTCTTGATTCAAGCAGCATGCCCCGAATGCATTATCAAGCACTGATGAAGTAATTATATCATGCATGTATAGATTCATTTTGATATGAAAGTGGGAGATTTGAGAATAGATGGACAGAAGTTTTACCTGAAACAAATGCACTGGCATTCTCCTTCGGAGCACCGAGTTAATGGGAAGAAGTAAGTTCCTTCTCTTCTTTCCCCTTTCATTATGGTTCAGGAAGAAGGTTCAAACCATTTTTAATTGATTGTGAG